TTTTTCGTTGTCAGGGGACCCCGGAACGCGCATTTCCGTTGAAATCTCGAAATCGATTTTCCGCAGCATTATACAACTTTCCCTGTACTACTCCCTATATACGTACGTATACGGGAAAGTAAATAAACAAATGAATTGTGTTAATTGGGTGCTTTTTTATATGTGTTAATTTTTCTTTGTGAACAAACATATTTATTTCTTTTGTAAATAACAAACAATTTACATGTTACGGGAGTGTTTATGTTTCTGATATGAATTTTTGCAAATACAGTTTTTATAAACTGATTATGAATACTTATTGCAGCTCAACCATTCGAAATATTTTGGGAATTTATTAGACAAAATATGCTTAAAATTGCCTTAAGAGCTTACTTTCTAAATTTCTTTGTTTCCTCCCTGGACATCCTGTATATTATATTAATTATATAAACTATTTAAATTCTTTGATTATTTTTAAGTTTAATAAATTACATAAAATTAATTACATTATTTAATATAATTTATTTTTACCCTTTATAAATGGCGGGTGTTGCCAGCATTGCGTAATTATTAAGGGGGATTAAAGGTCGCGGGTAATTAATAAGGGGGGATTATCACTGCGTTACACCGAAAGGGGGTGTGCAAAATACTCCAAATTGGAGTTATGTAATTTATGAAAGCCTCTCGAGTCATTTATTTTACTATCTCAGCGTTGTCCGATATATTTCATATCACAAGGCGCTGGCGAAGACATCTGTTATGCTCTCACTGCGCCGGTTGAATTAGATAACTGGCACTGGCGTAGGCTTCGAATGACAAAAGCCATTGCGTAACGCTGGTAGTCAGTCTCTCTGGTGGTAGATCTCTCAGACGCGCTCAGTGGTGGCACTGCCTGCAGCAATGGCAAGCTCACGGGCACGCGCAATTTGCTCTGCGGCGGTGAGTCAAGCATTTCTTGCGGATGGAATTTCATTTATTTAGTCAAAGGACAGTGAAACTGTTTGACGTATGGAGAAGAAATAGAACGTTTTCTTGAGCTCCTGAATTTCTTTCTGACATGTTTACTATAGTTGAAATAAGAATAAAAGTCAAAAATGAAATAATAATAATAATAATAATAATAATAATAATAATAATAATAATAATAATAATAATTTTGTAAAAGTGCGAGGTAAGCAACATTCGGAGAACTAGACATTTTCGCTCCTAAGTTATTGAAAACTTACTTGCATCGCTAAACGAACTGCGGATTCAATTGTTTTGTATTGTTAGCAATATACAACACCCTCCCCCTGGCATTACTCCTACAGCTGTTAGCAAAAAGGAGTGCTCAACAAAACGTGCGCGTAGTGAAGCTACATATATGTCCAGCTGCGGCGGCTCCTTGGGATAGGCAAAGTAGGCACTGCCTATCCTGATGAATGCAAGAATGTAGTAGTAGCACTGATAACAATTTAAAAAATAAACCTCTTAAATTAAAAAATGACTCTTACAATTTTAATACAGTATGTTTGTTATTCACTGGAGTACTGGACATTTCTTTATCATGGCACGAGTCATATTTCCATTTCAAACGTTTGCTAAAGGCCCATTCATAATGCAAACATAAACATAAGCACTGGCGGAGAGAGTTATGGGATAGACTGTACATAACTCATGAGAGACAATGTATGTCGCGATAGGCATAACAACGTAAGACGTTAACTTAAAAGCTTGCAAGCCATCGCTTCTGCACTTATGCTTAAGTAAAACATAAGATTACGAGCCAATCACGAACGTTAACTTCAAAATCGAGAAATCGGAATTAGAGGGAATCGAAATAGAAGAAACTACATGCCTATAAGGCATGGACACAGCCAAAATCTTTGAATAGATTGTCACATTCAACCATAGTAAAAACAGAATTTCTCACAGTTAATAGAAACTCTTATTTTGCTTACGTTTATATTAGAGTTGTGAATACTTCAGTCTAACACTTATGTTAATGTTCATGTCTATGAGCTATGCTTATGTTTACGTTTGCATTGTGAATGGGCCTTAACAGTCCGTGGGCCATGCGATCTGCTTCGTCTCTTTCTGCAGAGACTCGCACCCGCTTGCACCTCTCAGAGTAGGCACGTTCGGTCACAGCCTTGCTTCGAAAAGTTTTCTGAGGAAAGGCCCTGTAGTGAGCGTAGAACCACAGATTAACACCATATTCATCCATGGTAGAACAGTAACATGAGATGTCCACACTTGACGCATGCGCGTTGTGCCTATATTGTGATTTTCGCAAGTCTGCCCCTGGCAGATATCAGCTATTAATAGTTTCATCCAATCGAGAGCTTGAATGTCAGAATAGCGACGTCATTATGATGACGTTCAAACTCCCGATTGGATGAAACCGTCGGCAACTGATACCAGCCAGGGGCAGAATTACATAAATCGCAGTTATAGGTCAGCGAATTCGCTTGCTTTCTGTCCGAACGGAAGACTCCGATTTTCACTCACATGCAAACAACAGCGCGTGTGTAAACTGTTTTGTTAATGAGTTAACAAGAGGAGATAGTGATTATTATTTAGGAAGTATTAATATTTTTCATTTCATGCTGCGGATTATTAGTGTTACTTTTTTTTGTATTTAAATCTGATTTTACGCCAATATTATGACAGATTAGTGAATGAGCTACTACGTACATTGTTTTCTCGTCTTAGCGATGTAGAAAAGAGACAAGATTTGGACAGTGGTCGACCTACTAAATGTTTGAGTACGGTTGTATATCGTGTTGGCGAGAAAGTTTCAAGAAAAGCCAATTTGTGGCAGGCCCGGGTTAACGAACGGGGCCGAAGACCTTAGGCCCAGGGCCCCAATGCTCAAGAGCCCCCGATAGTCCTTAAAAACGTATTTAATACTCAGTTCCTCAAAAAATTAAAGTAAAAAAAACTGATGTGTCCACATCATTCGAACATATTTGTTACTGACATATTAAGCTCTTTTAATAATACAATACAAATGTAAATTAATGCATTATATATCATTGTTACAATAAACCTTATTTTTCGTTTTGATTATCAGTATAGTCTCTAATTGTATTGAAATAGTCATGCAGCAGAAAATATTTTACTTTCATCTTAAATTTGTTTACCGATTTTAATTGCTTAATGTCGTCTGGCTATGTGTTATAAAGTAACGTACATGTATTACGAGTATATGTGGATTTATTATAGTGAGCTGTTGATACTGACACCTGATGGATGTGATTTCTACGATGGGTGTTGTAATTATGAATATCAGTATTTCATGAAAATATTCCCGCCGTTAAGTTAATTTTGACAAAAACAACAGATTCGTAAATAAATAGACATGGCAATAGTAAAATTACAAGTTCCAGCGAGAGAGGCTTGCTGGAATCATATAAAAGGCTTTTTTTTTAATTATTCGAATAATGTTTTCTGCAATCTTAAGGTCTGGGAGTTATGGGACGGTGTGCTTCTCTACAACATTAAGCCATATCTCAGGCGGGAATGTAGTACATGTGCAAAATACACGTGAGCTGCATGAAAGTTGACAGAATTTGAAAATATTCTGAACCGTAACGTAGTGTTTAATTCTGTTATATGTATTCATTTGAGATTTGACTGAGTTCATTTCAGAGACCCAGAAATTTTGTTCAGCCTGTTGCATATTGTTCATGGAAAGGAAATTGCCGCTTTGAACAGCAAAACTGCTTTGAAACAGATTTTCTTCGTTAACTAATAATTTGTAATTACGAAACCAATTTGACTCTTCTGAAATCATACTATTTAGGATAAGACCTGAGATCGTACCTCATGCGGGACACCATGCACAACTGGCAAATAATTGAAGACATAAGTAGATAATGTTATTTTGTGGATGTACGGTATTTCTACTCTGAGATCGATGTTTAAGGTACGAGGTTATGCAATCAGAGCAATACCACGAACTCCACATGAAGGTAATTTTGAGAACAAGATGTTATGGTCAATAACGTCAAAAGCTTTCGAAAGATCTGAAAATATTCTATGCTGGTGCTTCATTTTGGTCCATTGATGACGCACCATCTTTTAGAAAAAAAAATGGCAGTTCTCGTTATTTCGATTTTCTGGAACCGTGTTATGAGCCTGAAAACTTCGTTTTTTCTGAGAAAAGTTGCAATTTACACAAAGAAAATCCTCTGTAATAATTTTCAGAAATTCGACAAATGAGAAATTGGCCAATAATTTTGGATTTAATTGTTGTTGCCTTTTTTAAAGGTGGCTTAATTTTTGATTTTTGAAAATAACTGTAAATATTCCTGTGCATAAAGAAGCATTCAAAATTTAAGTTAACGGACGTGTAAAGGCAAGTGCACGAGTTTTTAATAAACAATTCTGAAATTCACCCAAACCAGGCAAATATATAAATTTTTTAGTTTACTGACTATTCTGAGGATTTCACACGAAGCTGTTTCAGAAATAAACGTTTGTCGAATTTTTTGGAGGAATTTTATGATGTTGAGATTTATGGTTTTTGCCCCATCGTGAGATCCGCCACGATTCTAGAAAAGTGTTAGTGGAAGAGATTTGCAACTTTTTCGGATTATTTGCTTCTCTGCCATTATCATTTAAAACAACATTCTCTACAAAGTATCAAGATAAGGTTGTCGTAATTAACACAATATTTCACATTGCTTTACTTGTGTTACTAGCGTTCAAAATATCTTGATTATTTTTCATTGTTTCATTGTGAAATGAAAGCTTTGAGAAAAATAAATTATATTTTTGGTTTATGACAAATAGCGTTATAATTGCATCCTATGATTCCTGCAAGTAGTTGGTAAATATTTTTTTATGTTCTCTATAGTGAATAGTCTAACAAGTTAATCCATGTTGTGTACGTCCTTGATTCCGAAAAATTGATTGACAGTAAAACGTGTCTGTCTGTCCGTCCGTCCGTCCGTCCGTCCGTCCGTCCGTCTGTCTGTCTGTCTGTCCGTCCGTCTGTGTACAAGAATTTTTTTAAAAATGTCTGAGGGACTTCATGTAAATATATACCCCAAAATTAAATATCGGTTTCAATTTCCACGGGCGCGACTCAGGCAGATTCGATTTGGGGGATAATCGAATTTGGAGAAAATCGAACGGGCTTAGGGCTAACCGACGTGGCAGACGGGGGAAGACAGATGCGTTTACGCGTCAATCGACTTTTCGGTATCAAAGTCTCACAAAAAAGGAATTCTGGACTAGATACATGTGTTATGAGAATAGTATTTTACTATAGTAGGAACAAGATTATCTACGTTTAAGTTACAGGGCCCGCAATAAGAGTTTTTTCGGTCCAAAATTCGCTGTTTTCCCCCCGTGTAATTTCATATACAATACTTTCTCATGACTGCGTAAGCAGAAAGCGGAGAAGTAAAAAGCTTTGGCTGTTATACTTTATCGTTACATTAAAAAGTGGGCGGGGGGGGGAGAATACTAAGGATGTTTCAATACTGCAAAGACAGATGCTGTCAGATTTGTAATCGCTTTACGAACCATGAACACAAAAAATACACAAGAAAATGTTACTTTTCTATGCCAACTAGGTTGTAAAGATAAAATGACTTCTTAACTGGCACATATGAAAAGACTAGACTGTCTTCTATCTGCACTTAACAAAGCATGGAAAGCATCCACAAAAAAGCACTGAGAAAGCCTAAAAAATAGCGTTAAAAGGTATTCTATATCAAAGGTATTTAAGTCTTCCCTAGCCATTATGTTCACAAGATCAACCTACTCATAACATTTCCATAGAAAATTGTAACATAAAATTATATGTATACGAAAAAAATATTTTGAGAAACAAATGTGTAGAAGGTATATTTTTTTAAATACTTTAGATCTTTTTAATCATGAAGCAATTATCATATATTCTGAAAATATGTACAGAAATTTTAAAAATACAGATTAAAACATGAAATTAAATCAAATTCTTTTTTTAGATTAACTTTGATTATGACTGCTGTATGATCGAAAAGATCTTAAGTATTCAATATTGATACTAACAACATTTTATTCTCAAATTATTATTAGGTATCAACCTAAACAGCAATCTTATTAACAAAATAATTATTTCAAAATGTTATAGATACTTCAGTACATCATTGCCATCATCTCTATACTGTTGTTCTTGGGAACTTCAGTAGAAACAGCGAAAATTTTGGCAATTTTCTCTGTCCCAGCCAGGAGCCATGTTGGTGCATATCAACCACTCATGGAAGAGCTGGCTCGAAGAGGACATGAAATGACAGTTGTGACTCCATTTCCCAGAACAAAACCACTTGAAAATTATAATGAAATAATAATAGAAGACACTTTTCCATCAAGAGGTTCTCTTACACAGCACATTTGAAAAAAAAAAAGTAATGTTAATGTCCAACCAACTATTTCAAATGATAATTCTAACAAAATTATCTTACAGATTCTTCAGAAATGAATCTTTTTGAATATGGAAAAAATAACTTTTTATTTACAATGCTCATGATGTCCAAAATATTTGTAAGCAGCTGTGAGAAGCTTGTAAATCAGCCAAATATCCAAAAGTTAATACACAGTACAGACAGAAGCTTTGATCTAATCATTTATGAACCTTTTGGTTCACAATGCATATATGGCTTGCTGCATAAATTCAAATCTCCATCCATTCAATTCCTTCCGAATACTATTACACCTATGTTAGACGACTCAATGGGAAACCCCTCTACTTCTTCATATATTCCTGATGCATTAATGGAGGAAGATACAGTAAATTTCACAACACGATTTTTCTCACTTCTTAGATATGGTTTTATCCGTATTTTCCAACTTTATATTCAATCCCAGATGACCTCCATAATGAAAAAACACTTTCCTGACCCCTCTCTCCCTAGTATTACTGAATTAGAAACCAATGCTTCCTTTCTATTCCTTCACTCTCATCCGATTCTTAACTACCCAAAACCTCTAACACCTAATACAATTGAAGTTGGAGGATTGCATATAAAAGCTGCTGGAAATCTTCCTCAGGTAAATGATATTACTGAACAATTTATTAACATTGATTAACTTTAAATTTCATGTGTTATTAATGACAACAGTTCTTTCTTTTAGGACTTAAAGAAATATTTGGATGATGCTTCTGAGGGGGTAATTTACTTCAGTTTGGGATCAAATGTTCGCAGTATAGATATGCCAGAAGCAATGCGAAATGCTATCCTTAAATCTTTTTCAAAATTAAAACAAAAAGTATTGTGGAAATGGGAAGCAGACACTTTACCTGGACAACCTAAAAATGTTCGACTTGGTAAATGGCTACCACAACATGATATACTGGGTAAGATAAACATATTAATAATTACTTATCCAATATGCAATTTAATTGAAGATTATTTCAATGCAATCTCTTAATATGACACGTGTATGCGAAATTTCCGGAAGCTCTCGTTCCAATAAAGTACCCCCGTTGTTAACAATAAGTTAAATTTCATGAAGCAAGCTGTATTTTGTTTTTTGAGGTTGGAGGTGGGGTGTGGGAATAGAGTTTAAACGTAACTTCCGGGCGCGAAATTCGAACCAGCTGCCGCGTCACCGGAGCGGCGCGTCTGTAACGGAGCTGCGCCGCCTTTTTTCCGTTTTTTCGGTGAAACTGTCAAGAGAATATTTAATCATTGATTCGGGATTCCAGACCCGTCAACTGCTAAGAAAATTAGTCCCGTAAGTGTAGAGCGTGCTTTTCATCGTGGGACACCACCCAGCCACGCAAGATCTAAGCTCCCAACTGGCCTCCCGACATGTGTGGAAATGTAGTGCATCGAAGTTTGTATGTTAGTAGGGGGGGGGAGGATAGGGTAAGGAAGAGAAAAGAAAGATCGTGCGCGGATTGTGGCCCGTTCGTTAGAGTATTGCTCCAGCATTCCACAAGTAATGTTCGGAGAAACAATGGAAAACACAGATCAAAGAACCGGCCGCTAGAATACAGACATTGACTGAATTCGACCTATCTATGTAGCTAGTGTCGAAAAACCTGCCTCTGTCTGTACTTGAACCCTAGGACCTTCCGGTCAGAGACACTGCAGTGACATCACTGAGTCACCTAAGCCAATCGAATGAAGGAAACATTGCTTCCTGCACACTAGAGTACTTCAAGAGAATCAAGTGTATTATGTACACTATTGGTTAATCTATTGTATTGAAAGTGCATTTTTATCATAAATTATTAACACTGTAATGGCTCTCATGGCCTCCCAGATTCACCACAGCTGTTAGTGTTGTTTCAAAGATCTTTAAGATATGTTAATTTTATTTTCAAAAACAGCCTAGAGCGCACTTTCAAAATGGTATCAATGGCTTCTAACTTTTTCTTCAAATAGAGAACAGTTCACTTATAAATATGATAAAGTCCAATTTTCACAAAAAACTGAATTTTTAAAAATGGCAAGATGTTCAACATTTTTTTAACCTGTCTTAAATTTTCATTATTCTAGCTAGATTTCTTTCTTAATGCAATCTATTACCAAATGTTGGATACTTAAATAATTTAATGCAGTGTTTTTGAAATATTGTTGTTTTTGCTTAATTTTGAGTCAAATACTGTCAATTAAAAAAAAAATATTAAACAACATATTTTCACAAATGGTTTGAAATTTGTCTCTTATTTATCTATTTTTGTAAGGCTAGAGAGTAATGCACTAAAATACATTAAATAAAAGCGGTTTTGTTTGATTTTAATGTTTTAAATAAATGCAAACTTTTGAATTTTGTTTGGAAAATCTTGTATGATTTCAATATTTATATTAAAGGACTATATATTACAACTTGTAATTACATGAAATCTTCCAAAAAAATGATACGTGATTTGAACATCTAATATTGAAGAATATGTTGCATTAACAAAGAAATCTTTAGTTTTAATATTAAAGAATAAAAAGAGCTTGGAAAAACATGGGAATAAAATTTTTTTTACATTCCAAAGAACTTAATGAAAATAGGACTTATGCCATATCATTAACTTTACTCTATTTGACCAAAAAAGTGAAAGAGAAATGGAACAGTTTTTTGAAAAAATCTTGCATTGTATTGTTTTAATTACCCTGAATTCACTTAGAATTACACAATTTCATTGCTTTTCTTACAAGTATTTTTATTATGTAAATATAAGCATATTTTTTGTTTCCTAGCTCATCCAAATGTCAAATTATTTATAACTCATGGTGGACTGATGAGTATCCAAGAAGCTACTTATTTTGGTGTACCAATGATTGCAATACCTGTCATGGGTGACCAGAAATTTAATGCTTTACATGCTCAAAACAGTGGCTATGCTCTTGTCTTGGAAATTCGTAATATCACTGACAAATCCTTAGACTGGGCAATTAATGAAATACTCCATTCATCAAGGTAAATATCATCCAAATGTCACTTGATACGCTGCACTATTATGTGCAGTACTGTATAAATTAGAGAAGAAAAATTTTATTATATGATGCAAAAAAATATACATTATTTCTATTGTTCTAAAATCTAAAGGTGATAGAGTTGTAACCCTGGGGTCTTTAAAGTATTTGGGGGCAGAGGAGCATTTTAAGTTGGACACTCTCCTCATTTCATAAATATTTTTGAAATAAAGAAAAAACAAAAAGAAGTCACCTTGGACATCAAAAATGTATTTTCATTGTCTGGTGATGTTGGTGGCAATTGCCACTTGCATCATCTGCTATTGGTTTTAATACGAATGATGAACTACAACTATTTTTTTAAATACAATATTGGATCACCAATTTTTGTTTTTGTTTTATTTCGAGGGGAGAGGAGCAGCCAAAGTGTGCATTCAAAATTAATTTAGATATAAACATTTTCAGAGGAGAGTTCATTCTTACTTTAGAATTTTGTTCCTCCTATGCAATAAAATAGAGGAAACTACAGAATTAAAAACTTTGTAATATTTTTAGAAGAAAGGTAAATTCAAGTTTGATGTGATAAAAATGATTCAACCAAACAAATTTTGAACTTTCGTTTATAGATATGTACTTCTTTGATTTCCAGTTACCGAGAGACAGCCCAGAAACTGTCCAGAATTTTCCAAGATGACCCACAAAAACCTCTGGATCGTGCAGTGTTCTGGACTGAGTATGCCATTCGTCACAAAGGAGCCCCACATCTGCACTCAGCAGCTCTCAATCTCAATTTCTTCCAATATTTCTTTTTAGATGTAATTGCTGTGATCTCTCTCTTGCTTCTATCATCAATAACCCTGCTCGTATTTCTCAGCAAAATGCTTTTAAAAAAATTATTTTCCAAATCCAAAGTGGTTTCAAAGAAAAAAAAGACAAATTGAGAAACCACTAAGAATTTCTAAAATGTTAATGTCTCAGATTACACTACACATGATTTTGGTAGTAATCAAATACAAAAACACCTTAAAAAATAAAATAGTCCTTCCTTAAAATCTGCAATATTAAAAATAATTAAAAGAAAATTACTACTTTTCTAACATTATTATAACATGTTCAATAGAATAAAATATATCATTGAAATATTATAATTTGTTAATTTGTCAAAATATATAATTTACATACATTTTTGTGGGTTTTACATCATTTTAAAATAACCTTAGACATGACATGACTTTTTTTAACTTCAGCAGTGAAGACTTTAAATACTGTATTCTGCAATAAATCTGAACATTCTTATCACTAATTTTTACATTGTTTGTAACTATAAACCTTACCAAAATTAACTTCCTAGAAATAAATAACTATTTAGCACTGCAGTTCATAAAATATATGAATATGCTTCAAATGAAACCTGTGTGTGTCACATAAAACTTGCTAGTGCCACGTTAAACTTGAATATCAAATATATCCAAAGTAATTTGAAGGATAGACAAGGGCATCCTCTAAAGTCCTTCAGAAAACAATAGCTGTCCATGATTTCAGATTACCGTGACAGCGAAAGTAATATTTCTTTTACAGACTTATCAATTTTACTATCTACACTTTCTTATTCTGAAATATTTTGTAATATTAAGTTTTAGAATTGAATTATTTAGGATAAATTATATTAATAATTATAACTGTTACATTAGTGCTCTTGATAATAGAATATTAATTGTTTCATATAAATTTAATTTATTTATTAACTGAAATGAAAAGACACTTCATTTCCAGTAAAGAGTTAGAAAATATTCTAAAAATGCTTCATCCTCTCATCTCCTGTGTCTAATTTATCACTGAATTTAGAGAATTTCAAGGTTTTCTATGGCAAAATGCCGTATATTTTAGTCCTTAAAGTGCTTGCCAAAATCCTGCCTAGAAAGTGAATGCCTACTAGTAAAATAATAATTATAAAAGGGTACATAATACAATTGCATAATTGATGTTACACAATCCTGATTAATGTTGCACATTTTTCTGAACTGATTCCCCAAAATATTATTTGAAAATTACTTTACAGCTCAATGAGAGAAATAAAATTGCAAAAATCAGGTAAGGTTTGAAAAGCATGATTTTAATAATAGGAAAAAGAAAACAATCTCATCTTCTTAAAATAAAAATTAATGAAAAAGAATATTCTTAATGGAAAAATACTTTCTATGCAGGTTTGCTTTGTAAGACAGGCTTCATTGAGGTTTTGTAGGGCTAAGTGAGTTTAGGACATAGTTCTATGAATACTGTTAACCTACTGTTGACAATTAGACTTATGTACCTAAATTTTAATAACACACAAATGTTAATTCCAAAAAATTCATAATAATTCAAATTTAAACTTGATTGCTGTTTTATTGAGCAGTTTTTTCAAGACTCTTATCTAAATTCAGTTCTTTGCATAAAGAAAAACCTATCATTTCAATATTGACTGGAAAATACCATACTTTGTTTTATAGATTAACTTATGATAATTGCACCTAAATTGGGGAATCAAACTAATGTATTGCCTTTTCTTTGTTGATTCTCGATAGATAACTGTGAAAAAAAAAAAAAAATAGAAGTGAAAGTACATTTTTAATCAGTAAATAAATTTCTCATTGA